TAGTTGCTCAGGAAGGGGTGGGCTGCCAGGGGTTGATGGGAACCTCAGGAAGGGCCCAAGGGGCTCCGGAGAAGACGGGTTAGGGGAAGTGCCTCTCCTGGCTCAGGTCTGAGCTGATGGCGTGTAGAGAATTACTGTTAGTTCTGCAAACTAAAGGTATTAAAAGAAAAGTCTCTGTGTGCATAGGTTGATATGCAAAAATTGTCAAAATGGTCTAGAAATGGTCTTTGCATTTCTGATAGCGGTGGTTCTTACTTCTGGGGAATTGGAAGGGGTGATAATTTGAGGGACTGAAGTTTTATGTGTCGTGTTTTATGTCCTTGAAAATAAAAAGGCTGGAGACAAATATGACAACATGTAAACAATTGAGAGTAACTTTTTCTTATATCATTCTTTGGGTCTTTTCTTCCCCTCTGTGTTTCTAAACATTTCCCTAGTTTAAAAATAGTAGTCACTGCTTTTAAAAGCTTAAATGTATTTTTACTCTGATCTAGATACTATTGAACTTACCAATTACATTCTGGCTGGGCCTTCTCTGAAGTTCTATAATTACCTCCGAGAGGCGGGTCTGTACACATTCCCCTGAGGCATGCCACCACGGTGCTTTCCTCAAATTCTTTCCTTAGTCTGGAGCCTGCTCTCGTCCCCTCCCTGCCCGGCCATTGTCCAGCTTCCTCTCAGGAGGTCCAGCCCCTTTGATTCCTCCCTCAAGGGAATTCCAGGAATCCCACTTACTTTAGCAGATCCACAGGACTCTGAATTTAACTCGCCTTTCCCATGGCGCTCCTTGAAGGCCCAGACCCTCGTATACTCGGGAGAGAAGTAAGGGTTGCAAACTCCCATTCCCATGCCTCGCCCAGGGCAGACATGACTAATCAACCACATTACTTTTTCCCACTGAACTTGGACATGGCCCGCGACTCCCCTCACAAGTCCAGTCGTGAACCTTGGGCCCATAGACTGAGCCCCTTTCCACTCCTGCCCCTGCATCTCTTGTAGCTTCCAAAGTACCAGTGCTGTTCCTAGAAGAGACTCAGAGGGTACCAGCGGTATCCCGAAAACCCAGAAATTACAGAGACTTCAGGCAAGTTGTTTTGAGGAAACATCCTATCTTGCTTTAGCCATACACTGGTGGCTGACTCGGGGGCTTGGAAGCGTCAAGGCCTGATCCAGACAGGGCCTTGGCAAAGTCCAGAAAGGATAATAGGGCAAGAGACGAACAGAGCCCCAAACACCTCTGTGCCAACTAGGGCCGCTTGGCGGCCCTAACAGCAGAGGCCTGCTGTTACCACCACCAGGAAGTGGAATAACAAGCCTACGCAGAGCTCTCCAAGGCCTTGGGAGAACTCAGATCTGGTTGGAGGACGAGGATGGGAGAATGGCTTCTCTGGACGCCTGAGAGACGGCAAGGAGTTGTAGGGGATGCAAGCCTGGGAAGGCATCCTAAGGCTGAGGCCCTTGAAAATCTCCTTTTGGGGGCACCTGGGGGACTCAGTTGGTGAAGCAACTGCTTAAGGCTCAAGTCATGATCTTGAGGTCCTGGGATTGAGCCCCATGTCGGGCTCCCTGCTTGGTGGGGAGTCTGCTTCTCCCCGCTCATGCTCTCTCTCAAATAAATTTTTAAAATCTTAAAAAAAAAAAAAAAAAGGAAAGAATATCTCCTTCTGCCCCTAAGAAACACCAGAGTCCCAAAGAAAATATGCCAATGAGCTGTGTTGAACTGTTTTCATGATGAGGTTGTTGAGAGGGTTTTTTTCCCAGCCTCTTTAGGCTTTTTTCCTTTTTCTTTTTTTTGGGGGGAGAGGGAGGGGCAGAGGGAGAGAATCTTAAGCAGGATCCATGCCCAGCTCAGAGCCCAATGCAGGGCTCGGTCTCACCACCCTGAGATCACGACATGAGCCAAAATCAGGAGTCCTACACTTAAACATCTCAGCCATCTGGGCGCCCTGTTTTATCCTACTTTTTCAAAATCCCTGTAATGACCATATTTTATTTCCATGGTCAGAAACTGAAAGAGAATAGAAAAGAAGAAGAAGAAAGCAAAAAGACCTCACAGGGACATGCACGGATCTTTTTAGAGAGCAGTACTAACTCAATCTATGGAATCAGAACAGAGAAGCATATCATGTCACCCACGAAGAGAGTGGGAATTTGGAAAACTGGAAGCAAACAGAATCTTCCTTTATCAGAGAGCCTGGCGTGGTGACTGGTCACGCGCTCATCAAGAAGTCATCTACTCATTCATCTGTTCATTCAGTAATCGTCTGTGCAGAGTCTACCAAGTGCGGGTGGTACAGGAGAGAGGTAGGGACCCTCTTGCCCTGGGGGCAGGGTTGGGGACAGAGGTCCACAGGTCCACAGACCCTAGTCAATCGCCCACACGTGGATACAGCATTACCCCGGGGGCTGCCTGCCAGGGGGGAGAGGCTGTGAACCCAGTGAAGGTGCATGAGAGACTGGGAAGGAGGTGGTCCCCTGGGGGTCAGCCCACTCCTGCGTGGGCTCGGTGGCGACAGGGCCTTCTCCTGGCCTGTCCTTGCCCAGGTCGAGCTGCAGCACTGCCCACTGCCACATCCCCCCATGCCTGTTCTCCGTGCCCGGGACCTCCCTAACACACTGCTGCTCCCTATTGCTGGCTGTCTCGACGTTCAAGAACTCTGTCCAGCCTGCCTGACCCTGGAGCTGCTCACCTGCAGGACAAATTCTTAAGACCTGGCTCTTCCAACCCCTCCCGGGACACTCTCAGAGAGCAGAGCTCGGGTGAAATTTCAGTCCCTGTTCTGCTTTCCTGTTTTATCACCACAAGGAGACCACGTGCCTCTCCAGCGGGAGTTCGAGCGTTTCCTTTGCTAATCGCCATGGAGCCGGCTCAGGGCTGCACACTCAGCCCAACACCTTGCTGGGGATGGACAGCGCTGACGGGCCGAGTGTAAGCGACAGGAACGTCTGGGTTGCTCGTGTTTAGCCTCCTCGTCTGCTCTGTGATCTTGGAAAGTGCCCTTCCTCTCCAAAGAGCTCCATTTCTTCAACTGCAAAAGGGGAGGAAGAGCCGGGCGCTTCCTGTGCCGACAAGACCTTCCTCCCTTGGTGTTCAGGAGCCCCAGAGCTCCCCAAGACCCTGCAGCCCTGCAGCAATGGAGAAGCAGCTGGGGCCGCCTGCTTGGAGGAGGGGACTTCTCAAGAGGGAGGCCCTTCGTTTTTTGCAAGAGCCGCCTCCTTCCTGGGCCCCAGCCTCCCGCAGTGAACTGAAGCTCACAGAAGTTTGACCCGACCGCACAGCCCCGACCTGAGCACCACAAGCCGCGCTGGATTTTCCAGGGCAGCCCTGATTTGGGCTCATTGGTCTCACTGTCTGAATATGCTATCTTTGACCACATGGTGCAGTTTGGGGCTCCAAGCCTCGTCAGCTGCATGTCGGGGGTCCCAAGGCGAAGGTTCAAGTGAAGGCTTGCATGGCCCCGTGTTGCCCTCTGTGACCTGTACCATTCCCGCAGCGCCACCATTCCCGCCATGACGCTGTCAGCCTGGGCCTTCCCTCATGCCATCCCTACACTCATTGGGCCACTGTGCCCATGGCAGGATTGTTGGGGTCTCTGGACACCAGACCCTCACCAACTAATTCCTTAGGGACTCTGGCAGGGGGATCTTCAGGCCTTGGTCACTTGGTGGGAAGCAGAGTTGGGGGAGAGGGCTGTTTTAGGGCTGATGGGGCTTGGAAGGGTACACTGAGGTCATCAGGACAGGGGCTGGATGCAGGCAGAAGCCAGGAGGAGCCCCCGTCCCTCTGGCTGTGCGTGGGCGGATAGAAACAGGAAGCAGAGACGTGACCGGGTTTGGAGACACCAGAGCTGAGTGTGACTTGTGCTCAGCCTGCCCGGCTACCGACTCTTCCCAGAGGCCCATTTCTCATCTCTGAATGAAGCTAACACCTGCATGGGTTCTGGTGCAGAGCAGAAGCCCCCAGCCCTTCCTGAGTTGGGTGGCCTGGTTCTGCACGCAACAGACTGGGCCTCGGAGCCTCGCCCATCCAAGGCAGCTTTGTGGGCAGCTCGATGGGGCCCCAAAGAAGGGCCCCAGCCACCATACCGGAGATGGGTGATGGAGACACACAGAGGGGACTCCAGGCCGAGTGGTGTCGGGCATGGGGCTGAGGGCACCTGTGGGGCAGCAGAATTGGGGCCAGAGAGAGTATGCAGAGGGCTGGGAGCTGGGAGGCCCTGCAGGGGACGCACCCGCAGGCATGTAGAGTCACTTGGGCCGGGCCCAGCCAGAGCATGGCTGCCTCTGCGGGGTCCCGAACGGCATCCTGATTCTCCCTGTGGCCCCGATGTCCAGACACCATAGACATTGTGCGTCTGTATCTCTGATACGTCCTTACAATCACTCTCCCTGGCCCTGGGCAAACAGCATGGGTCTCGACCCCGTGCAACCTGGAAAAGTCAGAGCAAGGTCCTGCTTTAAGGATTATTATGAAAAGCAATCAAAATGGTACATAGAAAACCACCCACTCGAGGGAAGTGGTCAGTGAAGGGTGGCCGCTTTGGCCGAGGGACGGAGTGCAGTGCCCACTGCAGATCCCAGAAGCCCCCCGCAGTCCTGGGCAGAGAGCGGCTTCCCACCAGTGAGCCCAGCCACATGGACCCAACCTCCCTCTCCTGCTCTGTCTCCCCCAGAGACTTCACAGCCTTACCAACAGCACTTAAGAAATGAAATACGGTTACACTGTGCCAGTCGCGGTCTCAGGCCCTGGACAGATGCCCACACGTTGGATTTCTGGTCCATTTGAATGAGGACATCTGCAAAGAATACTTGACAAGAAATGAGGGCAGTCCTGAATTTCCCAGAACACATGGGCTAAAGTCCTCTGGGTCATCCCTGACCTTGGCCTCCCCGGGGAGGGCGGACAAGGTGGGAAGAAGGGATGGCCCCATCCCAGGGTCCCAGGTCTACACAGCTTGATGAGGGATTGTGTGGGCAACCGATCATCTTGTGATGCTTACCCATTGGGTTCCTTTTGTCTGGTAGATTCTCACAGCAGCATATCTTCCCAGCGTCCGCCAGGATCTCTTCCACCCTGAGAAGGTCAACACTGGGCTTGGTGGTTCAGCCCAGCTGTATGGAGGAGGAAACAGGGTCAGAGTGATCTGCAGGTGCTGGAGGCGGGATTCGAACTCAGCTCTGCTTGCTTCCACCCCATCACACCCCAGCGTGACTGCCAAGGAAGCAAAACCTCGGATGTTAGCGGGCCCAGGGCAGGGGTGCGTCCCAGGCATGACCCCATCATCACATCACACAGACTCACTTAGAACCTGAAGCTGGAAATGAAAAAGTCCAAATCGGTCTGGGAAGAGGTGGGGAGAGGAAGCAGGGGAAGGGGGCAGGAGGTTGAAAATGCTCTCTGCTGCGTCATTAGGAGAGGAAAGGGGTGCTCCTCTCATTTTCCTTAACACAAGCAACACAGGAAGAAAACCGTTCGTTACCACACTGCACACTTGAGCGAGCGAGCAGAAACACAGCAGTTCTTGTGAAGAAATCTTTGCAAGAGAAGCAACAAGGGTAGTCAATAGTTATTTTTTTTTCTTTTCTAAGAAATTCTATAAGGGCTCTAGTGAGGGACTTTCTTTTACTTGAGATCCTCCTAAGCGCGCACAACGAGCTGTCAGCCTCTCAGGGCTGAGAGCCTGTTGGCTCTTTCGCAGATCCCACTGCCTCGGGGAGGTCTTGGCATACAGTGGGAGGATCATAAGTGCTTGGTGCATGGAAGTGCCATCTGATTACACACCAGGCTGCAACAGCTTGTAGGGGCATTGAGGTCCCAAATAGACACACATCAGAATGATCTTAAAAACAGGCCCCAGAGGTGTCTTTTTATTATACAGGTCCTCTGGGATAAGAGATGAGTCTTCTCTACCTTCAGATCCCTAACGCTTAGCCAGGGGCCTGTAGTAGGTGCTCCGTAAATGTTGCTCAGTGAATAAAAGCACGGAGGGAGGAAGAGAGAACGCTCTGGAAAATAGGAAAGTTCCTTTTTGAATTTTGTCTCATACTCTGCCTGATACGTGTCCACAGGTGGCATTGAAAGTCTGGGTTCTATTTTCCGTCAACGGCCAAGCACCTCCACTCTCCACTGTGTCCTGGACCCCCAGGGCAGGAGGCACTTGGGGTGGCTTCAGACGTATCTGGGAGCACAACCGTCAGGGCACTCTGCGTGTCCTGACACAGTTGTGAGCTAAGTACAGGTCTCTGGGCCACGTGCCGAAGGCACACAGGCCGCATTCTGCCTACCGGGAACTTAGTTACTCAGCGATTTCATGTTTCAGACCACAGTCACCGCTAGTACGCCAGCTTGGCTGGGCAGGTGGGGAGAACGTGCTTCTGTTCCCCACTGCAGCCACGGGTCTGGCGGTTGGCAGTCTCAGGAGATACTGTGGAGTCATCTCACAGGCAAGACAAGGACTGGAAGGCAGTTTAAATGCCACAGGATTTCTTCTGTAGGCAACCTGAACTTCTCTCCCAGGACAGCCCCTCCTTGGATTCTCACTCAAGTCCTACTGACAATTTACAAACTGTTCGTGACCTGGGAGGGAAGAAACGAATGTTGACTCTACTTATGTTGCTCTGTTTTCTCCATTTTCAGGGGAGAATTAAAAAAAAGTAGATACTTCAAAACACACGGCAACCTGGGACCCACCATGACAAGGCAGATGGCTTCCGGGGGCGTCGGGGTTCACGAGGACATTCCCGTGGGTCACAGAGCACAGCAAATGCCCAGCATGAGAGCTGAGCCATGAAAAGTAGGTGAAGTGAACCAACCATTTTTGAAAGGTCTCTATTTGTTTGGGGTAAAGTTGCAAAAAACAGCATAATCCGACAGGATTTTTACTAGCTGAGGTGAAGTATCTTCCAGATTTTCTGATGCTCAAGCTTGTAGCTGCGGTCAGTTCTCCCCATCAGTGCGGTGGTGGCGGGCAGCATCTGTCTTGCCCTCAGTATCCTGCTTATCCCCGGGGTGTGTTCCCCAGGGAAGCAGCCCCCTGGAGACCCCTAATTAGAGCCCACTTTCTGAACCAGTCCTTTCATGGACCCCTTCTGGTTGTCTGTGGGGCAGGGGGAGGTTGTAGGAACAGGGTTCTGTAGGAAGTGTGGGATACTCTGCTGTTAGAATAAATTCTTGTTTAAAAGTAAAATCAGGGGGCTCCTGGGGGGCTCAGTCAGTGAAGTGTCTGCTTAAGCCTCAGGTCATGATGCCGGGGTCCTGGGATCGAGTCCAATGTGGTCAGGCTCCCTGCTCAACCAGGAATCCCATTCTCCCTCTGGCTCCCCCTTGCATGTGCACGCCCTCTCTCTCAAATAAATAAATAAAATCTAAAAAAAAAAAAAAAAAGTAAAATCAGTAGCAACCTGGGAGGGAAACCAAGATAGAGAGCCTCATGGAAGGAGAGGGTGGGAGGGGGCCCTGGGATTCCTTGCAGGTCTGTGGCATTGGGGTGCCCAGGAGCCCGCTCCATCACCTCCCACCTCCGGGATGGCACGGACTCCCAGGGGGCGGAGCATGTGAGTCTAGCTGTGGGGGGCGGGGCCAAGCGGAAGCTCATTAGGAGGTGGGGCAAGGTGTCCTCTGGCAGGTGAGTGGGTGGGACCACGAATGTCTCCTGCTGCTCCCGAGCTACAGACACTGCTGGACAGGCTGGAGGCTGAGCCCCGTCCTCACCTTTCTGTCCACAGTTCCACATGCCTCTGTGGATGCCTGCTTGCATCCCAAGACCGACAGATCTGGACAGTGGCTCTAGGGGGTGGTTGTGGGGGGACAGAGCTGCCCCTCTAGGGACACCCACCAGGACGGGTAAACACAAGAAGTTCCTTGTTATCTTCCACCTGGCAATCTCACTGGATTCTGTAGACTTTGAATATTTTAACCAGAACCACAACACAGTGACTAATTCATATCTGTTGGCTGAGAAGGAAAGCGTGTCCCGTGGTGGCCATTGCTGTCCCTTCAGAGACAAAAGCTGGTCTGATGGCCTGCAGGTCAGTTTGACTTGAGAACCAGTTTGTCCTGTGATGTCCCCACGAAAACCACTTGAGCCCCTCCTCCCGCCCTGGCTCTTGGTCTCAGCCCACTCCCAAGCTGGAGCAGACGATGCACTGAAGGCCTGTCGCCTGTCTTCAGCTGCGGTACAGACACAGGCCACCGAAATTGACCGTGCCATCTCATCCTCTCTTCAGGAAGCCCGGGGAGGTGAGGGGACACGCTGAGGGTCCTAAAGCAGTGCGGGTGTTGTCATCAACTGCGGTTTGTGGGAGGAGCCAGCCCATACGGTGCTTTCAAAATAAGACATTTTACATTAAAACCTGGGTTTCTGGTGGCTTTTAGAAATCAGAAGGGGCTGGGATCAGGCTCTGGAGGGAGGGATGGTGGCTTTGGGCAGGGCGTGCACTCGCCAGGCTCCCCTGTGCCCCTTCACCAGCGCCCAGCGCCCAGCACCAGCACCAGCACCCAGCACTTGGACGGTCACAGGACCCCCCTGGCCCGTGACTTGTGAGCGCTCTGCTGTCACTGTCTTGAAGTTCCTAATACATTTTGGAAGAAGAGTCCTCATATGTTCACTTGGCTGCAGGCCCTGCAAATTCCACAGCCCTAATCTGGGGAGTGGACGGGTCGCCTCAGAACCTCCTGGGGGAGGCCGTGGAGGAAGAGGCCAGGACAACAGCTGGAGCCTCAGCAGAGGGCACGCTGGTGCTGTCGGGGTGCAGGAGGCCGTCCCTGGGGCTGGATGCGGGTTTGACGGGAAAGTCCTTTGAAAGCCATGAAGTACATAAGAGCCAGGTGTTACATTTATTACTGGTTACTGACCCATGCATTGGCCAAGTCCTTCAAATATTTATTGAGCATCTAAGTGTGCCAGGCACTGTCATAGGTCTGGAGGACACAGCAGAGGACAAAGACCCAGGCTGCAGGCAGCTTCCGTTCTGGTAAGGAGGCAGAAAGCCAGTGAGAACAGGAGTGCGTAATTCATAAGAATACTCTCGCGCTTCGTAATAAATGGAAGCAGGCCTGCTGCAAGGGTGAGCTCGCCTGGGACCTTGAGAAGGAAACTGGCTGCTCAAGTCCTCATCCAGAGATAGGCCCTTGGCCCTGGGAACCTTAGGAAGGGATGCGGGGTGAGTGTGGGCTGACTGCCCCGTGGCCATGCGGCCAGCTCTTCCTGCTTCCAGAAGCTTCTGCTGGCCACTTGCTCCCTCTAGGGTAGCCAGGTCTCACTGGGACCTGCCTGCAGGAGTTGTGGAGACCTCCGGGCATCTGGGCTAGGCCATCTTTCTCCTCCTTGACTGTGTATATACTAGCTCAGCCAGATCAGGCCTTGACCACTCAACAGAGCCACTGTTGGAGTATTCTGGGAAGATATATTTATGGCAGACTCTTGCTTCCTTCTGTTTTATGTATGACATTTCCCCAAAAGGAAAAAAAAAAAAAGTTGGAATGACTACCATCATTATTCATTCCTTGCTTTTATTTTCCACCCCAGAACCATCTGTCATCAGAAAACAGTTTACTTTACACCTCTTGGGCTGGTTTCCACATCCAGAGGACACTGGACAGGGGATGGTGGTGACCCCTGGATGCCCCTCCTGCAAGGGGCTGGGGGGAGGGGGGGAGGGGCGGGAGGGCCGTGAATCATCAGCCCCGAGGTCGCTCAGGAGAGAGCTGAGCTGAGCGCTCACAGAGGAAGACTAGGGAGTGTGGAGACCACGGTGGACAGTCCCTCCGGGATGGTGAGACGTAATGGGACGGGCTTCCCCTCCTGCGTCCCCTGTCCCCTGTCCCACTCCTTGATCCACTCAACTGGGTGAAAATGCAGTGAAGTTCTTTCATGGTGGACGCATCATCTGTGACATGGGGGCGGGGGAAGTGTCTGTGGTGAAAGCTGGCACAACGTTGAGGTTCTTCATCTTAAAGTCTATGGGGTCCTGGTGGACCGAATGGCAAGAGGGTCTGCGCTGGTAGTGATTTGTTAGCAAATCTCCCCTGAGGACCAGGTGGGACCAGGTGGGACCCCTACCCCCTGGGCACCTGAAGCTGCTGAGGGAGGCCTGAAGGGCAGATAGGGCTGGGGAAATGCAATCACGTCCTAATACACTCACTACTCCATATCAGATGTCCAGCCATTGGAGGAACCTCCGGGTTTTTGGGT